AACAATAGTTGTAGAAATGTGTGGGTGAACAATAGTTGTAGAAATGTGTGGGTGAACAGTATTTGTAGAAATGTGTGGGTGAACAATAGTTGTAGAAATGTGTCGGTGAACAATAGTTGTAGAAATGTGTCGGTGAACAATAGTTGTAGAAATGTGTCGGTGAACAATAGTTGTAGAAATGTGTGGGTAAACAATAGTGGTAAAAATATGTGGGTGACCAATAGTTGTGGAAATGTGTCTGTAAGCAGTGATGATTGAATACAAGCTATTATTATTACTACCGTGACTTATGTTTAAAAAGAAAAACAGTAAACACTTTATCTCCAATAGCTTCTATTTGTTAATTTGTATTTGAAAAATGTAAGATGTTTGTGACAGAATTGACATACATATATATTATTTATTCAATCCAAAGTGTTTTATACCCAACTGTAATGGTCATTGTTAGAAGTGTTAAGTTTTAGACTCGGGTGTAAGAATTTAAATTGTAAAAATAACTGGAAATTATTCTTATCATGGTGCAAAGAGAATGGTCATGGTCAGAAGTTCCTGAACAGGCAAGTTTTATGGGTTTGTTTTAACGAAATTTTGTGAGTTTGCTAATTCGTTCTTGGTCAATAAAGTCACTTTATCGACGTCCCAAAGTACCAGGACGCCATGTTAGCAACCACAGTTATCATGCAGGAAAGTTTGAAGTAACTTGTTTGTTTTGGAGCTTTCCTTAATTTTAAACTGATTGACTAGAGGGAAGGTAGGAAGTCGACAGCACACACCGCCAACTATTTGGCTACTCTAATAGAATAGTGGAATTTGACTACTACTCTTATAACGCATCCACCGCACCGAAGTGCGGAAAATTAATTTGCTCGAACGCGAACGCTGAAACATCACATCCACAGTTTGACATGCTAACTACTGGGCCACGCCCGTTCATTGAACTAGCTATCATGGGGACTTCTCGAAATCTATATATCCTGTTTTTAGTTGTGCCTGAATCTGTTCTTCCTAATATAAGATTAGTTGCCATGACAATAACCGATTACTTTATTCTAGTCACTTCTACTCTAAATGTAAACATTCAATAAATAAATGTAAACTTTAAAACCCACCTTCTTTTTATCCCTCATTGAACCTTTACCAAGTACGGCCATTTTTGTCTGAGTTTCTTCTTGTAGCTGCTTCAGAGAGTTACCTTTTGGTCCAAGTAATTTGCCTACAAAGTTAAACTGTAAAGACCAATAGATAGTGATGAGGTAGAAACAAAAATATAGATAATATAATCATTGTGATTAGTTACTTTGATTATACACTAAAATAGATAAATAAACTTCACATGTTACTCCAAGTCACAAACAAGTATCCAGAAGACATTGTTACTCCAAGTCACAAACAAGTATCCATAAGACATTGTTATTCCAATTCACAAACAAGTATCCAGAAGACATTGTTACTCCAAGTCAAAAACAAGTATCCAGAAAACATTGTTATTCCAAGTACCAAACAAGTATCCAGAAGACATTGTTACTCGAAGTCACAAACAGTGTGTACAGTACCTACACTGTCTAGTACAGAGAGCAAGAAAACAGACCCCTGTTGTTACCATTGTACAGTACCCACACCATCTAGTACAGAGGGCAAGAAAACAGACCCCAGTTGTTACCATTGTACAGTTCCTACACCATCTAGTTACAGAGAGCAAGAAAACAGACCCCAGTTGTTACCCTTGTACAGAACCTACACCATCTAGTTACAGAGAGCAAGAAAACAGACCCCAGTTGTTACCCTTGTACAGTTTCTACACCATCTAGTACAGAGGGCAAGAAAACAGACCCCAGTTGTTACCCTTGTACAGTACCTACACTGTCTAGTACACAGGGCAAGAAAAGAGACCCCAGTTGTTACCCTTGTACAGCGCCTACACAATCTAGTACAGAGGGCAAGAAAAGAGACCCCCAGTTGTTACCCTTGTACAGCGCCTACACCATCTAGTACACAGCAAAAAGAAAGATCCCAGTTGTTACCAGTGTACAGTACCC